AGACTACAACAACCAAGTAAATTAATCTATCAATTAACCTCACACACAAACAAGCATGCAACAAACTCTTACTTCACACAAACAAGTGGCTCTGTCTCACACACACATGTGGTAAACTTTTATTTTTCATAGCACATGTGACATGTCACACTGTATAGCCCTGGTGCACACTGAGAATAGTTTAAAGGTTTCATGTTTAAGTATCAGAGCAGTGAAAAGTAAAAATATCACCTGTGACTTTTAAGAGTTGGATAATAAATGTTGCACTTGCGGATGTGATTGTCTGGATAAAATGCAAGTCCCTCTGTGATATTGGCCAGTTCTAGCCATTTGCCTGGAGGTCAAAACGTTTATCTGATGGTCAGTGTTATCTTCTGCCAGGATTTTGGCTTTTTGGATGTGTAAATATGTTCAGTGAATGATATGGTATATCCCCTACAAAGGTGTCCGGTGCTGTTTTATAATACTATCACATCAGACTGTGAGTCCACCAGTAATGAAACCCTTCAGTAATGAGCAAATTATACTCCATTTTCATTAAGTCACTCACTTTTGACAAGTCACCCTGTGATCAGTCTCTAAGTGTTTCCTGTATTTTAAACTCATTCCCTAATATTATGTTGCAAACTCTCCTCTGGTTCCTCAGTATTTCAACTTTTCATAACCTTTGTATATTGTAAGAATGCACCATTGTAACCAAAAATCCATTGACTAGAAAGTAATTTATTTACAAAGTCCTGCGAAGCTGTTAGAATACAGAATTTTAAAACGGATTATTTGTCATCAGTCTTTATTAGTGGCTTGTTTTAGTGGTTTTGGCTGCTTCAAACCCTTCTCATCTCATGTTCCTTTAATCTCAAAATAATTCCGCTGTTACGTTAAAATTCTAAATTCAATAAAAGTGATCCATGTCTAATCTAGTTGCCAAGGAGTGGTGAAAATTCCAGATGAGGCAAACAAGCCCTCTGGCACACAGTGTGAATGGAGCAACAACAGTGATACAAGTCTGACAAATATTTCCTTATATGTTAACATCAGAGTTAACAATATTTGTAGGTGTCAGTACGCAACAAAATACACCTATGCATTTGATTTATCTATATGCTGTGTTAAATAAGTTTTGATTTTCAAAAATCAGAATATACAGTTCTACCAAGAAATGTATTTCATTAGTTTAATTCTAGGTTGTTTATGGTTGCCAAACAACATATCAATTTTATAGCATATACGCTGCATATCATATATGTGCGCAATCTCAATGAGCAAGGCTACAAACAAGTTGAACAGTGTTATATAGGCTAATGAGACTTTACCACGCTTCTTAGCAGACTTTATCAAGATAGGGAATAGTTTATTGCATATTATGAATTATAAAAAAGTAATTTATTGAACATTTGTGTCTTTTGGTGTCCTATCATTTAAATCAATAATTATTGTGATATTGCAAGTGTAAGGTTATACCGTGTAATCTCCTCAAGTTAAGAAATCGAAAATTTTTCCCTCGCTTTCCCAGCTAACATTTTTTGGTTATAGTTAGTTTTGAGTAACTCGGGGGGTGTTACATCATATTTTATTTTTACGCGTTTTTACAGCATTGCTCATTATGACCAATCATACACGATTCTGTTGAGCTTAGGAATGCAGTAGCCAATCAGAAGCGCTCAAACTAGTCAGCGCTGAAACCCCAGAGTTTTGTTTCAGACAGAAACTCGCGAATTCCCTCATCATACGCTACAAAGCGCTGATGTAGGTACGATGTAAGTTAAAGATTCATTTATCATACCGTGTATGGACAGCTTTATTGATTATAAGAGGAGTTATGAGTGCTTAAACGCTAGCTAGACTGAATGCTCATTTAGAGTGTGTTCTTTCACTGCATGATTCAGTATAATAAAATGCATTTAGAATACTCCCAAATTCCAAGATATGGGGGCAGAAAATGTATATATTTATATAATTTCATATAGTTGATCAATATCACAAAAAGAGTGCCATTTTCCCCAAAAATCTAAACCTAAAAGTGGTTAGGGGGACCCCCCAAGAGCTTTGACACAATTCGAACACTGTGCTCGTCTACGACTAAACAAGTCCGTTCTTTTCGCTGAAGATCCGGATCCCAGTGCATCTATGTAATAATATTGTGCAGTTACAAAGATATACTGTAGAATAAAAATCAAATGTTCCAATTTGAGACAGGTTTGATGAAACAAGACAAGCAAACAAAACTGCAGAGAGAGAGAGCGAGAGAGAGAGAGAGAGAGAGAGAGAGAGAGCAACTGGACTTTTGAATTCAAACAGCTTTATAACATGTTCCCCGTAACTCCAGTCAAAAAAAAGAAGAAAAAAAAAAAAAAAACCAAGTAGCCTATGCTGCTTACATATACATTTTGAAGATATGCATTTTTTTTCTTCACAAATTATCGCTTTAATTTGTGGCAAAACATATAGCTTAACCAACAGTGAGGCTGTTTCGGTTGTTCGTGTTGGCTGTTCTTGTAGTTCACCGGGGTTGTCTGAGAAAATGTTTAGAGGGTGTGTAGTGTAGGCCTAGGCCTATGTGTCTTTTGGGGGTGAAGGTGGAGGACTGAGTGTTCTTTTCACAAGTTCAGCTGTATTTATTTGAAAATGATGTAGAGGTGTATGACTCAGACTCAGCGTGCACAGTCCCTCAGTTACACCGCCGAGGAATAAATTAAATCTAATTTAAATTCAAAGGAACACATTAAATCAAAATTAGGCTACATGTTTCCATTGCACACAAAATAATGTATTTTTTTATGTATTATTCGAATTGGCTAGTTGTTAGGCACATAGACACATTGTTGATTTACTGCAATCGTTAAAGCAGATGGTTTTTAAAAGTTAGAGAGAATAAAATGTACAACATTTTTTTTATGGTTCCAATTCAAACCCTTCATTTTTTAAGAGTATCTACTCAAAGATTTTTGATCAGGCCTAGTATGTTGTTTTACTTAACCTACATCCCGAAGTTCTAAAAGTACAAGAAAGTTGAACCGACAAGCGTGTAGCGGGGAATTTAATTATTTTAGTTCAAATAGGCCCACAATTAAAAATGGTTTCATTCACCTTCTTCCCAGCATGCACTGTATGAATAATAAATAGCCTATGTTTTGCATTGTTTGGCCGGTCTTAATATTTATTTATTCATTATTATATTTATTTGTATTTTATTTATTTATTTATTTTGTAGATACACTGTAGCAAGTTGTCCGAAAGGATAATGCTGCTTACAGTAAATCATTGTCCTCCACGACAGCTGTATTTAAAATGTTCAAATGTAACAATGAAATACAATGTTAAAAAATAGGCATATGAAACTATCCACGAAGCAGTAAAATGAACACATTTCTGAAACAGAATCATTATTTATTTATTTATTTTTAATCATTTGTTTTACTTTTTCCCACACTGTTGTTATCTGTTTTCCGGATTTGTCTATATTCATAGGCTACACCAAATCTAGTCTCAAGCCTGGCGTGGCGGCGGAAGACGCAAGAGGCAATGTGAGCTTTTTAGCAGTGATTAATGGTGAACAACATCCAGTAATGTCTCGTTTGCTAATTTTATTCGTTGCCAAATGCACCACAAAATCGATTTTCTAGCAGGCGACAGCAAATGCGGCGCGTTACGCGGGAGATCTTCCTTGAAAACGCTCACATGAGTTGTAGGCATGAACCTTAGTTTATTATTTCTAAATCACACTTTGAAGGCTATTTCTATTGTGGTTTTTAAGAACTTGAGAAAAACGTCGATTTGCAGACCAAGACCTCAGTCAAGTGTAACTCCCTTTTGAACTTGGCAGTAGCTAATTCCTGCGCTTAGCCGAGCCTGCCCGGGCGCGCCTCATGTTGAGGACCATAGCAGTGGAGACTATGAAGGTGTGAGAAAACCACGAATCCAACAACACGCACGCTGCAGGTCCAGTGCAGATGCCATATGACGCTGTTGCCCCGGGCAGAGAGCTTCTAAAAAGCAAACAGTGATTCCCATCAGGATAAGGTGTTCACGATTCTCTGTCGTCTTTGGTTTGATTAATCGGTTACAAAAAAGCCACTACATGCCCACAGCACACCACCGAAACATTCACTCAACTAGGCTACTGTTCTCAAATTCTCAGAGCCACGCAGCTAAACAGGGATGGGCGGCGATATGGAATATAGAAACAATAAGCCTTACATTTCCTTAAATTAAATTAGGCCTATTATTCTTAAAACCTAGGGATACTACTATTAATATTATTATTAGCGTATACGTGTATTATTCCAGCTAAGGTAATTTTGCACCATGCTTTTGTCTTCCTACATAAAAAATGTGAAAATTTATTTTTCATCATCTGTTTTTAGTAATTAATCACAGATAAGTCTGTATATTAAATATTGTAAATACAATGTATTTTTTATTGATAGTTTTGTAGTCTAGTTTACTTTAGACTACGGGTGAAATAATTACGCTGTGTAAATATTCATATTTTATTGTTTTACATGCCTATAGGCTATATGAACTGCGCAGCGTGTCACGTAAAAAACATTTTTGCGTATCAATACCACGAGTTTTCGTTTTTATTTGGCGTACTATTTATACGGATTTTCATGAGACCGGGCTCAAAAAAAAGGCGAATTATAGGCTTATGGGAGTCGTTTTATTGTGAGAAACTTAGGTAAACAATGTTGAAATAAATTTGACGACGTAAGTTTGATGACTTGGTTACGTCTTTTGAGCTCTGTCTCTGATTCCATGGTGCAAGAGACAAAAAAAACAAAAAAACAAACAAACAAAAAAGATGATTAGCCTATTAACGGTAAGGGTAAAATAAAGAGAAAACAGATGCCATGTACAAAAAGAGGTTTATTTGGATACAGTATTAAATATATTGCAAAGAATAATATCTGATATCAGATAAGTCTCCCATTATCCCCCATCAGCAAAGAAAAAAATATTATCAATAGACGAAGTGTAGCCTATAGGCTACTGTTCTCTGGATACTTTAATCGAATACATCTTTGGCACGAAGAAATATTGCTTTTAACAGTATAAAAACAACAATTTAGATAAAATGTAAAGTGTCTTTTTACTGGTAGTGGCATGTAACGATTTCAAGCAAACTATAGCGCGATCCATTAGACTTTAATAGCATCCCCAAAATAAAAATGAGGGCTGCATATTTATTAAGTCCACATATTTGTATTGTAAAAAAAAAAAAAAAATCACCGCTTTTCCAAAACAAGTTGATAAAGTAACCTACATGGTAATATTCCTTTATAATATTCCTGGTCAAGTATTTGAGTTTTTCCTGCTTCCCTTCAGTCTTCCGACCTTTTTATTTTACTCTGCGGGTTCTCTCTCTCTCTGTCTTTGCTATAGTTGCCGTCGTCTTCTTGAAGGGTGGTGGTGGTGGTGGAATGGTTGTACAGTCCCTGCGCCATTAGCTGCACTGCCAGGCCGTTCTTGAATCCGGTGGCTTTCTTGATTTTAGCCCGTTTGTTCTGGAACCAGATTTTAATCTGCGACTCGTTCAGCTTGAGTTCGTGCGCCAGGGCCTGCCGCCGCTGCTCCGTGATATAGCGGCTCGCCTGGAACTCAGCCTTCAGTCTTTGGAGCTGCTCAGCTGTGAACGCCGTTCTGGGTCGTTTATCCTCACTGTCGTTTTTCTTCTTTTTCAATTTCCGGGTCCTTGGGCCTTGTGTGGAGACAACAATGAGACGAATCCATGAATATCAACCATCTCATCAAATGTCAAAGCCATTTTGGACTCCACACACAAAAGGACACTGGCGTGCTGAGTATTGTGCCACATGATCACTGGAATAAATAAACATCAAAATAGACTCTTCTAATAATAATAATCCTATTAAATTTAGGTTGCCTTAAAGAACTGGCCAGGGACTACAGCTCTTACAGTTTTGTTGCTGTTAATGAGTGCTGTCCCTGTTAAAGAAATTGTTATTGTAAACATATGAACTACATTGTCATTATGTTGCTGACACTGTTAAAAATAAAAAAAAATAAAAAAGAGCCATAATTGAGTCTGTACTGCACATACAATGATGCAGATGATAAATTATAGAAATGATATTCGTTTTGACGTCGTGCTCCTGAAGTTGTATTAAAAATGCCAAATTAAGATAAGCGACAAAAGCCAAAAATTTAGATCTGATGTAAGAGATTTAGTGACTTTAAATTTGGTTGTATATTCATGTAACTTTCCTCAGAAATAAAAATTAACTTTTATTTATTTATTTATTTAGTACTCCAGTTTTGAACGGTGGATTGAGAAAACCAAGAAATAAAATGCAGCATCTGATAAAAAAAAAAAGTTTTTTACGACATTAAAATGAATAGGCTAAAAGCAAATTATGTGAGATCTTGTAAATAATAATAATAATAATAATAATAATAATAATAATAACAAGAGTCACTAACTTATGGCAGTAAGCTACAAACCTCAACGCTAAAACACGAAATCAATCACACGCATTTAAAACATTATTTTGTCAATTTCGTAGACTTCAATATTTATTGAGGAATATACTTTAGTTTTGTAATTGTCTTGGACGGCATTTATATAACTTTATTATTAAACGACGTTTATGTAAATGCGTGTGACAAGACTTTATTATTAAAAGTTTTTCAAGATTATAACTTTTATTATTATAGTATTAGTCATATATATATATATATGGCATGAAAATTCTTGGAATATTATGTGGAGTAGCTATTATGTCTGGGTCGTACATGCTGTAAAAGGAAAAACAATTTGGTCTAGCTTGATGAATATGAGGCATTATTATATGATTCCGGTGTGTGTCAGCTCGAATATTTCTACAACCGAAACTAACCTTAACTTAATACATTTCATATAGTTGATTTTCCTGCTTTTAGTTTATGCAACAAAATAAATATATGGCCAAGAAAGAAGAGAACTGGTGGTATTATTAGTTACCAGGTGCCTTACCAGATGAAGGTCGATCAGAGTATCTCGTGCAGTAAACCCAGGCGGGCCACAGAAGCGCTTGTTTGTCCTTACGGGGCGAGGAGGTTTCACCTGGGCTATTCAAAGCAACGGGTGACGCTGAGACAACCCCACAGTTTGCTGCGTTCCCTCTTTCGGCCTCGTCTACTTTGGAATACCTTCTGCTGGCTGGAGACGAAACGGTGGACGAGGCTGAAGATGAAACACTGTCGGTGCTGCAGTTGGAATCCGGACAAGGAGTGCTGGGGACAGTTGGTCGGGCAACAAAAGACCGTGCACCTGGACGCTGCTCCCTTTTGCAGCCGAAGTCCGGTCTGAGAATGTTGTCAATGAAAAAGTTCGTGGTTCTGTGCGCGTGGTGCGCAGCCTGCAGAGGTGGAGAGGGCAGGCTCGGTGACAGAGTAACGCTGTCATCTTCCCTCTGATCCCGCTGCTCTTCCATAACAGCTTCCCTCTTTGATATTCGCTCCAGTGGTTGAATGTAACCTGTTCTGTTCCAAATATAACAAAAGGTTGGACAATGCTATCTAGGTATCCATGACAACGCGCCAATCCCCTGCGAAAGTGAGTACATTTTTTTAAGTCAACTTGTTGACATAGTGGAGATAACGCTTGCGCGCCGTTACTTTCTGCGCGTTTGGAAAGGACTGACAGCGCACAGTACGCAGCTTTCGTACACCCTCCGCATTGCCAGACCTCGGTTTGACACCTCTTTTTCTTGAACTCTACTCGTGCACAACCACTCTTAGTGGCCACTAACCGGAAACACATCAGATCACATAGATGAGTGGGGAACCTATCCATGACAAAGGAGCTCTTTGCTACGTGTGTCAGCGTCCAATTCCGTTCCGCGCCTGTGCTCACAGATATCCAACGGCACAGAGATTGCTCTCGCCCTGGTAGATGAATTCTGCCTCCCGCAGTCACGCTCAAAGATAATTAAAATTAAAAACATATCTTCAAAAAAAATTATTTTAGATATTTATAGCTTTTGAGAAGAAATAGTTAAACTGTAGTAGCCTAATATATAGCCTATGCTATCGGACAAATTCTTTGGGACAACGATAGCCTAATAGCATGGAAACAACTTAGCCTAAGCTTTTACTTTCACAAAACCATAAAAAATAGCCTACAACAAACAGGCTACTTTGCGAAAATATATAAGCCTATTTCACTTTTAAATCCAAATGCGTTTTGTGGATAAGAGTGTCTCCTAAATGCCTTAATTTAAATGTAAAAATGTGCTACTAAAACAATAATGTATATGTATATTTAAATAATACTAATTAAATGCCTTCATTTAAATTTGAATATGTTTGCTGTTCATGCTGTAAATTCTAATATTACTACTACGTCACTGTATAGTCCTAAAATAGGCTACGTTATATCTGATTTCGACCTCGGGACAAGTGAAGTCAGACTAGCATAGGTAGACCAAGCCTCATTCGCAATATTAGGGTGCCTGAAATACTTAGCGCGAGAACTATCTGTTTGCACTTAATTTCTAATTAAAATGAAAATGAATCAAACCAGCGCAACGGCATCAAATGCATGAACGTCTTGATGATGCGCTTCTACCAAAAGCTCAATTGCATAAATGACTTAATTGACAGCTAAATGTCCTGTGATACATTTTTCCCCTCACGTGGCAGTGTTTTAGTGAAAATATGATAAATGCATTTTTTATTGTTTATTTTATTGTCATTGTTAAACTGAATGTAAACGAGCCCTTATTACAGTAAGGCTACCTGGATATATACAGGTGCATCTCAATAAATTAGAATGTAGTGGAAAAGTTAATGACATTTTATAACTTGTAAAAGAAATATATCACAATAAAATGTTAAAGTTCAGATCAGTGTTCAAGAAGCACAGAAATATTTGGTCAAAGATCTCCAACAGGCTGAAAGACAGAAAAGAAACACCCTGGCAGTAGTTGATTTTCACGGGCACAAAAGGCTGTTTTTTTTTTTTTTTTTTTTACAGTTTCACAAACTATGTGCATCTCAGGCCATATAATCCCAAAATGTCAGATATTTCAAGACTTGTAATATGTAAACTGAAAAATCCTTATTCTCAGAAATTAATTTCTGGTAGGCATATTCTAAAGGTAGGGTATAATTTTTATAAATACTGAACACCAGTGGTTGCAATGAACTAAAACTGCTAAACACTTAATCTTTTAAATCTGTCCGAATGACATTAGGGTGATTGAATAAGCCTATATCTTTAAGAAGATGCCTGTCGTGACCTGCAAAACGCGATGAGACAGTAAAGAGGCACGACAATCATTTTTCCTTAGTACTAAGTTTGGCTTCATATGCCTTCTGCAAAGTTCTTGCCATGGCGTTTAGACAGTTGCGTCATGTAAGTAAAGGTGTGTAAATGTAGAAAGCGAGTAACATATCACAGATACACGGCGGCCTGGCAGAGCACATGCGTTTAGTCATGCGTGAAGAATGCGGGTCTCATGCTCGCAGAACAGATGTGGACCGTTCAAAGTGTTCATGTTATTCTATTCTGTAGCGATTTTAACCTACTTTTCCACAGATATATTACGGGTTTAGGTTTAAGTTCACAAAGATTTGTTTTGCCATCATTTCACATCCCAGGACTGAAAAAGAAAAGCACAGTACCACAATCTCTTTATGAAAATTCAGAGCATCTTATCTTTAACTGGTTCAGAACATTTGGTGTTATGACCTTTTTAAAGGTTTTATTGTAACATTACTTATATTAGTGTATCTGGCATAGGCCTACCGCACGGTCAATAGGCTATGTCTGAGATATTATATAATTGAATAAACTGAAAACATCCCTCATGCAACGTTTGCAAAGTCTCCTGGTTGTAAGACTAATTTTAGCAGCAGCCCATAGTTCAAAATAATATATTATGGCATCACTTTTAACAAAAATAGTCTGTTTACGTTGAAACAATAAACAGGCTAATTGTGATCTACAGTCTGTTTGTTGGGCTTGCAGACAAAAGTCGACGTTGATGAATGGACTAAACAGTGTGGAGGATCTGAAGCTATAACTATTTTGCGTCCTCTTGTGGCCAGAATGGTGACAGTCCTGAAGAAGCTCTAGCACAGATGTAATTAGAGATCACGAGGTAATGCGTGAACTGGGGGGCATTATGTGGATAAGGGGGCATGATGAGTTAGGCTAATGCATGTTGATCATTGCAAAGCCACTGTAGCCTATTCTATGTCTGAAAATAAAAAGGGATGGTAAAAAAATAAATAAATAAAAAAGTCACTTTAAAATGAGACTCCGCCATAAACATTGGCATATTCACTAATGTCAGCGATTTTTCAAGAAAACACGTGACCTTGTAATAGTAATTTATATAAAAAAGCGCATAGGCTAAGTGATTGACGTTAACAAAGTGCATGTAATAAATGATCGTTTTCCTCATCTCTTCGTCTGTTTTGTCATTATCCTCTTGCAACGGTGCGCTGTTACAATCCCCACTTTCCCCTGTTGCATTAATGTAAGACCAGAGAATAAAATGATCTTACAGTCCACGACCTGCACGTGATAACGCTGCCTAATATAAAGGGCCTATTTAACTTGATTAACCAAGCTGGACCGAAATTACCGTTTTTCTGAATAGCTAAAACACATTTCTTGAAACCATCACTCATTTTCTCAAAACCTTAAACACAAATCCAAACCTTCAAACTAAATTCACAGAACCCCCTGACTCTTCTGGCAAAATCAAACAATCGCTTCAAAACCATTCCACCTGTACTCAAAATCAAACAAAGCTTTAAAATCATAAACACATTAGTCAATAATATACACACTACAGATCATTCATTAGACACTACAAAAAAAAAAAAGGAGAACACAGTGTCCAGTGCATAGTTACAAAAAACAACAACAAAAAAAACTGTTTATTGTATATAGTAAATATTTTGCAATACTGTAAAACACAAACACACACACACACGTTTACTTTGCTATCTACACAAACTCTAAACACAAATCCATAACTTCTCACCCAGTTCCCCATACTTCCTATTTTCAGGCTCTCCACTCAAAACTATTCAATCTTGCTGAAAAAAAAACAAACTTTGCCCTCAGACATGACACACAAGCCCTCAGAAACACACACACAACAACATAGTCTTACACACTAATGAGATCAATTCATAACACTGTTGCAAAAACCTTCTTTTGCCAATCAGGTATCATTTTACAGCTCAATATCTCTTACAGTATACAACATAATTAGAGCACATACATGTTACGGTAAATATAGCAGATGCAGTGAAATTCAACAATAAGCTTTACAGTAAGAAACGATTATTTTCATTACACTGCTGTAAAGAGATCTTACAGTACAGTAGATGAAAAGCACTAGAAAGGAAAAGGTCAAATACCAAAGAATTGCATATGAACACACAACAGAATATAGAGTCATCTCTCAGTTCTGCAAAAATACAGTACATGTAAGAAGTACTTGGCTACAAATCAGTTCAGCAGTTACAGTATGAGTTTGAGGGTGTACAACTTGTGCGTCAGTATTTACTATACATACAGTATGAATAAAAAGTAAAAGTTCTCTCATCTGAAGTACTGCTACTGTTCTGTCATTATATTTGATCTGTAAGTAGTATTGAAAGCCTGTAGATGAGCCTGTAGGCCAGCTGTCCTCATGCACAAGAACATGATCAACTA